TTTTATTTATTTTATTTTCAGAATTTTCTCTTTCATTTAAACATGTGAGCTGGGGCCTTACATTTCTGACCAGACTAAACTGGGAAATGTGTTTGAAGCTAGGTAAATGAGGATTCTCACTTATCAGCAAAGTAGTTATTAATGCTGTCATTTTTTTGTTAAAAGTTATGTCATGTCATAGAAATTTCTGACACTCATATTGGAGAGCTTTATGGGATGAAATATCCATACTTTTGTAGTCTCTTATTATCCCAGAAATCAGGGGACAAACATAAGCAGTCTCTCTGAATGGCACAAGAGTTGCGTGGACATAAAGCCTGTTCACATGCCCAGGCTCTTTCATTTTTAAGGTCTGATTTGATACATTTCCTCATGTCATAGAAATTTCTGACACTCATATTGGAGAGCTTTATGGGATGAAATATCCATACTTTTGTAGTCTCTTATTATCCCAGAAATCAGGGGACAAACATAAGCAGTCTCTCTGAATGGCACAAGAGTTGCGTGGACATAAAGCCTGTTCACATGCCCAGGCTCTTTCATTTTTAAGGTCTGATTTGATACATTTCCTCAAACTATCCAGAAATTTTAGTGTCTTTTTTAACTCTGGAGTTAAACTCTACTCAATACGCATTCTGCTCATACACATCTGATGTCAAATTAATTAGCAAAGTTAGGCATCTTTAGTGTCTATACAGAATTCAAATTTTCTGTTTGAAAAGATGAATATTCAAGTGATAAAGAATTAATTAAATATTGATATTCTAATACTGATTTTATTGGTATCATTCTGGCACTCATATTAAACATACCCAGTAGGTGAAACAATTTTTTTCCATTTTGGGGAACAAAATCCATGAGAATGACATATCATTTTGCTGTATGTATATAACATTTATTGGAATGAGTCTGGGAAAACAATAACTTCAATTTTTTAAAAAAAAAGATAAAAACAATGGCCTTTTTGCAAGTCTTATTTGAAGACAGGCCCATGTCATGAGCTCTGAGCTCTGTGCTCTGTGCTGGAGAGTTAACAACTCACTGATAAGTCATAGAAAAGTTGGACAGTTTAAAGATCCTGTGAGATTATATACCACATATTCTCAGCATGCTTCCTCTGCCCCAGGGTATTGCTAGGACTATATTTCACCTGATTTTGTCATTGCTCTCTATTTGAAATCTCAGCATGCTTTATGTGAAATGCAAAGCTCACTGGGATTTATGCTTATCACAGTGCTTCCTGCTTTCACAAAGCAGAAGCAGTGAGGCCTGAAGGACAATTTCCTGAGGTTAAGAGTGATAAGAAGGAGACATTTCCTGTGAAGAGACATGTAAAAGTAAGCATGGTAATATTTAGTCACAGCTCCCTCCAACAATAAGCAGAGAGGCAGACTGTGGAGCAGCTGTGTGGAACACTGAGGAAAAGACATAAAGTGCATTAACAGGTGTTTGGTTTTCTCCAGAGAAGACACATAGGGAAGCAAGGCAGAGTCCCAGAAACTGAGAGGAGAGTGCCCCAAGGCTGCAAAGAGAGTGCAAGGATTTAGGCAAAATTTAAATGTCAGGTACACACATCAGATTCTCATGAGAGAACAGTTTCTTAAAGTTTTGGATTTTTAATTTGGATTTTTGCCCAAATGATCTAACTGTCCATTCTTGTGATGAAAAATGGATGTCTTTTTGTTTCCCCATTTCTACTGATATTCAATGGTAATCTGGAACTGCATGTATTTTGGACAATCATGGCAAGGGTAATCAGATAAATATCTAGACTACCTCACTGTAACGATTTCTACAATCTACCTCACTATTAGATGTCAATCCTCCTTTACTTAGCACAAGGTGATCAACAGAATTCAGCCACGACTTATGCGATCCACTGGATACTTTCCTGGTGAACACAAAGAAACCTGCTCAAATACAGCACAACTTAAAGATTGAACCTCCCAAGCTTAGGACTAAGAGAAAAGAATATTTCTGGGAAGAATGAAGGTTTTTGTAGGTTTGTAAAAAAAATTATTATAGATTTTACAAAAGCATAGACACAGGGGCTTTCTTTTTCATAAAAATGTAGGTGACAGTTCACATTGCCTCCTTCCCTGCTGTGCTTCTGATTCTGAGGCCACTGGGAGATGTATACCACTCCTATAAATACTGAGGAAGCTGTTCGTGCAGCAAGTGTGAAGTGTTTAAAACTCTATGAATTTCTTTCTAGCACTAGCCTTCTCCTATGCCTTTACTGGATATGAGCACCAAGAAGAAATTAATCCAGTATGATGAGGTCAAGATTGTGTCTGGGGTGGTTTTGAGATATAAACAACTTCAGAAACTATTGGGACAGCACAGGAATAAAGGTCAACTGTCCAATTTTCCTACCACAGTCCTCAAAATCGAACACTGTGCACTGTTAGGGAAACAAAAATCCCAAGTGAGCCACAGAACACCTCTGCTGATATTTAGTCACTGCTGCACAAGTCTCTTCTTATTTTTCTTATGTTGCATGGCAGTCTGACTCATATTGGTTTTTAAATACTTATTCAGACCACAGACATGATAGACACAATTCTGGAAAAACAGGATTACTTTATAAAGGTAACTTGAAATTTAGTTATTGACTAGTGAATTGTAAGTCATTTGAGCAAATAAATCAAGCCCTGATCATAGATATGCTCATGTAGATATGTTTAGAGTGACAAACAAGATGCTGACATGGACAAAATGCCAACAGCACTGGGGAGGATAAACGTAGAAAACAAACACAGCGGGTTCTTAGAAGTTTTAAAACATTTAAAATCTCAGATGTTCACAGCATTTACATAAACCATTTGAAAGTGAACCTCAAAAAAATTCATATTAATTCATGCATATGACAGTGATCCGTAAACATCTCTTTACAATTGTAAAAAGCCTATTTAAAGGCAGACTTACTTCCGATACATTTGAAATTCTTAGTGTTGCATAATAACATGTATGTTTACAGCAGGGAAGGGAATCATGTGAAAGTGCATGCAAAATCTACAGCTATCTACTTCAGCTCTGAATAACCATTATTCGCAGGCAAATGTGTCTGAAAAATCCTTTCTCTAACATTTATTTTCACATTTTTCTCGCTCTAAAAATGTGCTCTCTGCCATCTGCTCTACTACCTATATAACACTGTTTAAATTTAATAGCAAACCTCTGGGAGTAGGGACTCTATTTTACTAACATTTGTGCATATTATATTAGTGCCTTTATCCTCAGTAGAGAAGAGATGAGCACCTTTTTACCACAAAGCAACTGAAAAGCAATTCATTGCTCCTACAGGAAAAGACATTAGCCAGAAAAGTTCACAAATACTATCATGTCTCAAGTAGCCTGGAGATTTCCAAATCTATTCCTGCACATTGCAGAAACAGCAACAATGAGGTAAAATTCCATTCCTACATATTTGTGAATTATTTCCTTTGTCCTCTAATGTGTGTTTCTGCTTCAGCAATGGAACTTTCTTTCCTTCATAGCAAATGGTTGTTCTTTCTTCCTTTCTTTGCTGTTCTTTCCATATTTTTCTTTTTTCTTCTTTATTTTTCCCATTAAATCCTTCCTTCCTTCCTTCCTTCCTTCCTCCCTTCCTCCCTTCCTCCCTCCCTTCCTCCCTTCCTCCCTTCCTTCCTTCC